ACATGTATTTTTATATTATTTGTTTTTTTGTATTTTTCAATTAACTACAACAAGGTAAACATTTACGGCTAAAAACACAAATAATTATCCAAAAATGTTACGCAAATCCCAAAAAAAATGCACCCCAAGAGAATTTTGTTTTATTTTTTATTTCTTTTGGAGTAGTTTTCGTGAAGCAAAATCACGTGCTCACAGGTACCATGCAATCTCCTTCTCGATCCATAACCAAGAGACGTTGGAGGTAGGGGTCGATCAAAGTATGACAATGTCTAAAGAACTGTTGCCCCAGTATGATGTCAAAGATATCCATAGCGGTTACGGTAAAGTTTGTCATACCTTTCCAAGTTCCTAATTTGACACCAACTCCATTAGCTACCCCACGAGCATTCTGTATCTCGGCATTCATGGTCTTGACGCGAGAGTTGGTTGGAGCAAGCTTCAATTCTAGTCTCTTTGCGGCAGCCTCAGTCAAAAAATTATGAGTTGCTCCAGTATCTAACATTGCACGAGCGAGCTTGTTGTTGATGGTGAGATCCACGTACTGATTGCCATTCTCGGTAGGTTGTATAGCTTGCTTCGTGACAGCACCACATAATCTGATCATACCCAACTGTGTAGTTCTCGGACTCTCTCCTTGTGGCTTCTCCTTCCGATCACGTACCATGGCACTGAGGCTCTTGAGGTCAGGACAATTCCTGAAGCCATGTGGCCCTCCGCATATATAGCATCCCTTCTTCTCGACCTGTGCCTTCTTCTCGGCATAGCCCTTACGGCCACTCGACTTTTTGAAATCTTTATTCTTGGAGTATTGTTGTTGTATCTCCTTGACTTTGCCACGGTCTCCCCCACCTTTGACATTGTTAACCTTTGACTCTTTGTCATTGCCTTTATCGTTCTTGTCATGCCTGAAATCTATCAATGATTCGGCCTCCACTATGGCTTGGTCTATATCAATGACTTGTCGGCGTTGCAACTCCTGCTTAGCCCAATTTTGCAACTCGTCCATGAAGTGGAACAACAAGTCATCATTGGTGAGGTTGGGGATTTGAAGCATAAGGGTAGTGAACTCCTTGACATAGTTACGTATGCTCCATGTTTTCTTCAATTCCCTAAGCTTGCGCCTTGCCTCGTACAAGACATTGTTTGGAAAAAACTGTCGCTTGAACTCCGCTTTGAACTGATCCTATGTGCTAATAGTACATAGACCTTTATCCACGTCGGCCATCTTCCTTCTCCACCATAGCATGGCAGACTCTGAGAGGTACAATACCGCAGTATTGATCGTGTCCTCGTCGTCCCTCACTTTGCCGTGCCTGAAGTAGTTCTCCAAGTGCCAAAGGAAGTTTTTCACTTCTTGTGCATCACGAACACCTTTGAACACTGGGGGTTTGGGAGCCTCAATCTTGGCCTCCCTTGTCACCACAACATTGCTGGCTACCTCGGTCACTCCAGCATTGACATGCTCCTCGAGTGACTCTATCTTTGCCTTCATAGCATCGATAGTACTCAAAGCCTCCATGAGTCTGCACTCTAAGGCAGTGATGGTTTACCTTAGTTCCATCTCAGTCTGTGTACGTCTCTCCAAGTCATTTCAGATACTCTCAATCTCTTCAGGAGTGTGCCCCTCAAGAACATTAAGGGTGCTTTCCACCTTCCCCAAGCGTTTGCCAAAGATCTCCACGGCGTTCATCCCCGCATTCATCTTCATCACCCACTCTTTACCGAGCGAGACGTCCTGTGGAAGGACCTCCACTTCATCTTCGCTCGCCTCAGTGGCAGATGGTTCTTGGGATGTAAGCCCTTCGTTTGACACAACCTCAGGTGGCACCTCCTGGCTCTTGTTGGTGGCATTCCTCTTTTTGCTACGGCCGCTCTTGCCAGCAGCATCCTGGATGATGTTGACTTGGGTGTTGGCAGCGTTAATTTCTCCGCCATTTGCCATTCCCTTAGTTGAAACCTTAGCTCTGACAACAGGGAGCATACCCATGTCTTATATAGCAGATCCTCCAAAAAGTTATATAGAGAAATCCAGTATTGGATATTCTAGCTCACTATGTATAAATTAGGCATACTTGCATTCCAGCCCGTTTTAGTAAAAAGGTGTATTTGTTTACATTTCTACCATATAAAAACTATACTTTCTCACCTTTGTTTGATATGTTCATTCAGTATTTATATAAACAAAAACTAACCAACAGATAAATAGCCTATATTAGTCGAAGGAGCCTTAGACTCAAGTGTAAAAGTAATTACAGACATATGTGTGTATAAACCATAAGTACTATGTATAACGAATATTTCCATGTTCCATATAGACAGGGGCAGATGTAGGGTTTTATTTACGGATTTGGCCCTCCCAATAACTTTTACATGGACTTTATATATATATATATATATATATATATATATATATATATAGTCCCATTAACTAAGACATGTTATCAATTTGGCATCAAATTCAGAATTCAAATACTAGTTGCGTCTCTGTATATACAAATTGCCTTCACTTACTACATGTCAAGAGCATATAGCCAAAATGTTATTATGCATACAAAGCAATGCCAAGATTCAGCAACTATGAACTATTCAAGAAATGTTCCATTCAACTACTAAGCAAAAGGCAGCAAGTTGACTTTAATTCAAGAATCATTTTTATTTCCAATCAGGCACAAGCTGGCCTTAGTTCTGAAATTGCCCTGTTTAATGACTACTTTCAAATGTTGAATTCCGGTTCCAAGCCTAATGCTTATTCTCTGGTTCACTTGACCCGAGCATGTACCAATCTTGGTTTGTTTTCCCATGGCGAACAGCTTCACTGCTGCATTCTAAAATCTGGGTATGTCACCAATGTCTTCGTTACTACAGCTTTGGTTAATTTTTATGTGAAGTCTCAGCTTTTGAATAAGGCTCACCAGTTGTTTGAGGAAATGACTCAACCAAATGTAGTTTCTTGGAATACGTTGATTTCTGGGTATGTCCGTTCTGGGCAGTTTACTGCTGCTCTGAACTTGTTTATTCAGCTTGAAAGATCGGAACTTTGTCCTGATTCGTACTCTTTTACAGCTGCTTTATCAGCATGCGGACCACTTTGTTTACTACTAGTTGGAAGGTTATTACATGCTAAGATTGTGAAATTTGGTGTTGGGTGCAGCATTGTGGTCTCAAATTCTTTAATTGACATGTATGGAAAATGTGGCTCTACTGAAGAATCAACTAATGTGTTTAATAGTATGATGGAGAAGGACACTATTTCTTGGAATTCAATCATAGCAGCAAATGCAAGAAACAACAGGCTTGAACAGGCATTTGATTTCTTGCTTCAAATGCCTGAACCTGATACTGTTTCATACAATGAAGTAATTAGTGGCATGGCGCAGTTTGGTAAAATAGAAGATGCTGTAGGTATGTTATCAAGAATGCCAAGCCCAAATTCATCATCATGGAATTCGATAATAGCAGGATATGTCAACCGAGGCAGAGCAAAAGAAGCTCTTCATTTTTTTCAAAACATGCATCGCAATAATGTTCATATGGATCAATTCACCTTTTCAAGTATATTAAGTGGCATTGCTAACATAGCAGCTGTAACATGGGGAAGGTTTATCCATTGTTGCACAATTAAGTACGGCGTGAATGAGACTGTTGTTGTTGGAACTTCTCTCATTGACATGTATTCTAAATGTGGGCAAATGAAGGAAGCTGAAATTCTGTTTGAATCTCTCCCTGTGAAGAATCTGATAACGTGGAACACGATTATATCTGGATATGCTCATAATGGTAATTCAGATGAAGTGATCCGGCTATTTGAGCAGTTGAAATTGGTGAAAGATTTACAACCAGATGGTATTACTTTCGTGAATGTCTTAGCTGCATGTTGGCATAATAAAATGTCTCTGCAGGCTGCAAATGAGTATTTCAAATTGATGATCAAGCATTATGAGATATGTCCCATGCTGGAACACTGTTCTTTGATGATTAAGCTCATGGGACAAGAAGGGGATGTCAGTAAGGCCGAGAAAATGATTTATGAACTGGGATTTGAAAACTGTGGATTAGTTTGGAAAGCATTATTAGGTGCTTCTGTAACTTGTGGGGATATAAAAATAGCAGAAGTTGCAGCTGCGAAGGTGATAGAATTGGAAGGTGATAACGAGTTTGTTTATGTACTAATGTCTAATATGTATGCATTGCATAGGAAGTGGATAGATGTTGGTGGCACGAGGGAGCAGATGAAGGAGAGAAAAGTGAGAAAAGAAGCTGGTTGGAGTTGGATCGAAGTTGAAAACTCAACTATAAATTCATCCATGGTGTGATGAAAAGACGATGATAATGATGCCCATACTCCAAATGGGGATCATGGAACTATTGCTCGAGAAGAAAGTAAGCCGGTCCCTTCTTTGGTCACAAATCGAAGCACTTGATGACCTAAATACAAAGGCAAAAAAGAAAATGACCTACAACCTTGAACCTCAATGAACAATAGGATGTAATGTAGGTACATTATTTAAACAGTGAAGATGAAAATGAAAATGTTGGACGGCTAAATGGGGCTGGCTGTTTGCCAACTTCATCGTTACGTTTATGAATCAACACATACAACAGAAGCAGTAACCTACTGAGGAGAAAAGAGTGAATATTCGTTCTGTCGATTATTACTACTTGGTTGACAAGTGGAAGTGCTACGACTATACTGGGAAATGTTAAGCTTATGTTGCCATGATTTGGTTTAGAAGATGAGATGCCTGATCTAATCATGCTTGAGGACAACGGAAAGTACCTTTTTATTATGTTGGGAAGGTATCTGTATAATGCAAATAGCCTCTTTTTTTACCTATTATTGGGAGGAGTAAAGCTACAAACTAATTGTTTGATGTTTCCTCCTTTTGCCTCAACTTACTCTTTTGGGTATTATCACTTTAAGCCCGCGCCGGAAACTATTTACATTCGATAGCCGAAAAAGTGTATAATTTTTGTATATATGTATATATATACATATATACAAAAAAAAAACATATATTTTTTGGCTATTATTTTGGGAGTGGCTATACAGTGTTATTTTCCCTACTATTTTTGCCTTCACTATAATTTGAATTTTGTTTTACTAAAATTTTCATCTCACTTTATTGACCGCTTAACTACATTGTACGCATGCATGTTTGTTCTTTGCCATTGACGCATTGATAATAAAGAAAACATAACGTGTTCTATTTGTCAAATAAAAATTTTCATTTGACCCAAAACAAACATATCACTTTTTACAGCTACAAAATAAGTGGCAGAGTGCCTTCGTTGTTCAACATCTACAACTCAACCTTTTTCCCTTCTCAGCATAACAAATAGGCCAAAAAATAAGAAATTATGGAAATATAAAACTCCATCCTCTTCCATTCTCAGTGTAACAAATTGGCCCAAAAAAGAAAGAAGGAAATAAGGATTATTCCATAGTAATATTCCAAGAAATCAGAAATCAGAATTAACAGCAAAACCAGCTGAAAATTCAATACATTCAAATACTATTACCACTTTTGTAAAGTTTGAGCAGTCATTAAACATAAATGTCTTTCCTAGGACAAAATCTTGCCTTCCCATTCAAAGAGTTGACAACTTTCTTTGACAATCTGCTAACAAAGTCACCTTGGTACCGAGAGACCCAGCTCTATTGCCACAAACAACAAAAGACTCGTATCAGGAGAAATATTAACAGGCAAAGAAGAAAAACAAAAATCAAAACTAGGTTAGCTTAGGTTCCTTAAATCAATCAAATACATTTTACTGCAGATACAGTTGCCAATAAAAGAAAAACTTAAACCTACCGCATTACATACAGGATAAAATTGCATTCAGGTATTTGAAAAAGAAAAGGGGAGGCTCAACTCTGATGTATCTTTCTCTACACTAAACAGATGATATGTCTGAAAATATGGTTAAAGCCAAGGCAAAAATCTTGCAGCTAAATTCAAGCAGATACAACCTCCTTCTGAAGAGCAAATAATTTCACGTTCCTTCAGTATCATCTGGGAAAACGAAAATTCTGGTTACCAAAATAGGCTTTGTCAAATAGGGGCATAATAGCTTAACATAAAAATAGTTGAAGTCAGAAAATTATTTTATGACAAACAGACCCTTGGAGGGTCTTTTTTTTCTTTTCTTTTTGACGGAAACCTGGAGGTGACAGTCAAAGAACTGTCGCCTCTTAGCTGATACTTTGTCTTGAACCCCCGAAAGGGCTGCCGTCCGATGGGTACACGAAAGTGACGAAGTTGCTGAAGTTTCCAGAAAGAAGGGCTCTCAGAGGGTAAGTTCCAATGGGGTTCCAAGATAAGGAAACAGCTATGTGTTCTCACTTTCCTAAACCCACCAAGAAGATCGAAGTTTCACTCACCAGATTAATGGGTCTAGGGATTTTACATCATTTGCTATATGTTATAAGCAGATACATTATTTGAAAGTCAAAATGCATGGAAATTGTTAAAGATCAGGCTCCACCTATGTCTAACAATCATAGCAGGACTTTCAAAGATAAAACTAGAATGGTGACTGAATTCATTATAGACCTGTATCTTGGATTTCTTATAGAACAATGAGACCATTCTCATTGACATTTTACTTAGAAGTGTGTATATAAGATGTGGACATATGGAATTCTGATGACCTGAAAGTTCAAACCTTCTCAAACAAATCAAAAGGAAGTGCAAACCACAGAAAGAAAAATAGTGGATGAAAGCATGAAAGGAAAACTACTCCTCAATCCCAAACAAAATGGGGTCAGCTCTACGAATAAAATTATTTACTTCATTATGTATTGCTGAACCCATCATTCTTTTACCCTAAGAATGGCCTAAAACGACCCTAGTAATGTTAAACAGTCTCGCCACAAGACTGAAACATTAGCCCATACAGTATCTCCCTCGCTCTGATCCCCTAAAGAGCCCCGGGAAGATGCTTGAAACATAGGAAAATCATTCGACTAACAGATTAATTTAGGTATGATTATGAGCTTTCAGTTTGCACGTGAATCTTAAACTTTGGAATCGCTTGAAAGTAAGGAGCTCTCAAAAACATATTCTTGGAGCATTACCCATCAAATGAACCTTTTCTAAATGGTAAGCTGCAGAAACACAGTTTGTCAGATAACCCAAAATGCTACGATTAAAATTAGGTCAAATGACATTATCAAAGACAAGATAATAAAATGTTATTCATTCTGAAAGCTTTTAAGTTTATGTTTTACATTCAGTAATTGCATGTGAAGGTTTCGAAAAGAAAAATGGCAGGCCCTAAACACAATTCACTTCCATCCTACTCATTAATTGTTTTCTTAAAACTGCTGATAAAATTTGGTGCTAAGATAGGAACGCACTTAAGCAAAATAGAAAGTCCTGTGATATCCCAGTATATTTCTTTCATGCTTTTGGAAACTCATGTGCCTGCAGGAACCAAATATTCCAGTCAGATAGCTGATCAAAACCTTCCACCTCAAAATATATGCCCAGTTTGGTTACTAGGAAGGGAGTTCAAGAGATTCAAAAACTTTTTTTGTACGGAGTTTCGGTAAATATATTAGCCAACATAGAGAAGAACAAGCATGAGAAGATTTATATTTGGTTCATTTTAGGAGTGAAAAGTTTCAGCCCAGACCAACTTAGACTGCAATTGCTTCATAGGAGTAACCATGCTAACCCAGTAATGTTTAGAGCTTTAATGGTTCAGCAAGAGAAGCCCCTATTTTCCAAGAAACCCATTGCATACCCTTTACAACCAGTCCACCACCACAACCCTACCCAAACGAGGAAACAAAAATATGGGGAATTTAAGAAAAGACAGCAGAAAAAAATTGTAGAATTATAGAAAATCAAAATAAACCCAGTTACTACTTGCATGAATATTAACAGAAGTTTCTAGAGTAAAGGTATGAATAAAGTAGGTGTTTAATGACGTTATTAGCTATTCTGTTACACTCAAAAAAAAATATTTTTAAGAGATATGTAGTAACATAATTTTCAAAATGCACTGAATAAAAGGTATCCAATTTCCGGCCCAATAATTTGTGATGTCATTCTTTCTAGTTGCCAGTTCTAAGTTATTCAACAAGGTAAAACCTCAACTGCACAACCATATGTTCTGTTCGTAGATGTATAGAGACAATAGGTTTCACGATCTCACTTTTAATTTGTTAGTTTTCCATTATGTTAAAGAAATATGTCTTTCTTTTTTCTAGAGTACAAGTGAAAACGTAGAGCACTATTGGGATGAATCCATTACTTTTGTTAGTCACTACTCACTATAAATAACCTGTAAAAGTGATACAAGTTATATGGTACTTCTGCCTCATCCTATGTAGAAGCCTTGAAGAAGCTAGTAAGGCAAGGATGATATACAATATTACTCTACAATATCTTCTCAATAGGAGACACTCTCCCATACAGTTTGTTGAAAAGGGGAAAGGGAGGAGGGAAGTCACTCCACAAGAGCTTTTCTGCCCCCTCTCCACATAAATATGTCCAGTTGTTAACACAAAATGCAAGAAACAGATGCACCATATCCAAGCTGGTGCAAGGTGTAGGTAGAGCTACTGGTCAAAGAATGCAGGTAGAGCTAATTAGCAAAATAATACTGGCACGTTGAAATATGAGACGTAGGAAAATAGCACCAGAATAGGCAAAAATATTAAACAATTTCACAAACATCATAAGATCACTCTACATGTTTTCAGTAAAAGGAAGATTAGGCAATCATTGAGCCAATTAAGATTGTTCAACACTAACTCGAATTCTGATTTGTCACGACCCGGATTTTCCACCCTCGGGAGTTGTGATGGCGTCTACTCGTGAAAGCTAGGCAAGCCAACTATTAAGGTTTTAACCCATTAGCAATCAACCCAAACAGATATAAACAATAACTACAGTTAAACAGATGAAAAGTGCGGAAGAGTTATAACAAATTCAAATAATCCAATACATGTCTACCCACAAATCTGGTATCACAAATTCACCAACATCTACGAATTCCTACAAACACTGGTCTGGAAAGAAAAGTACAATTGTTCTCGGAATGAAAAGAGACAGCAGAAAGCTAAAACAGGGAAGGGGGACTTTAGGCTCTGCGGACGCCAGCAGATCTACCTTGGTCTCCCTGGACTGAAGGCAGCTACCTCAGCTACTCACCCGGTCCGGTACCGAAATCTGCACAAAAGAGTGCAAAGTGTAGCATCAGTACAACCGACCCCATGTACTGGTAAGTGTCGAGCCTTCATATATGAGATAACCCTGCTGGTAGAATGAC